ACTGGGCAAGTTTTTTCTACATCAATTAACAAGGAGGATTTTGTATTGCATATGCATTTATATATATATATATATATATATATATATATATATATATATATATATATATATATATATATATATATATATATATATATATATATATATATATATAGGGGAAAGTCGGGTAGCCCCCGGACGACGGGTAACTCCGGACACATGGTGTTTAGCTTAAACTAAATACGCTACGTGAGTTTTAATACTACAATAATATTATTTAAGTGAAAATATGGCAGAGGCAAAATATCAATCAAACGCGGAAGCAAATGACTGAGAGGGCAAGATTTTTCCCACCACCAGAAGAGCGACGAATCGTCATATTTGATTCACATATTAATAATTTTTATGTAAACCTTATAACTTTATAATGATTTTTAATGTTTTTATATACTTTTATATACAATAGCTAAAAAAAAAAATCTATAAAAACTTCAATTCACTGATTTTAAAAATAGTATTTGTGAATGAGGTATGATCAGGTGGTGTCTGACACATGTTTGGAGGGTGGCTCCGGACAATTTAATTTGTTTACATATTAATAATAAACAACTTTATTCATATCTAATGCATTTTTAATTCCAATAAAAAAATATTAGATATGAAAATAGTGTTTTTAACGTGTTTATAAAAATTTAAAAAAGCTTATGTTTATACTTTTAAATGATGACATTTTCATTATCATTCCTTATATATCTTATATATTATATATATAAGGCAATTTTTTATAAAATATGTCAAGAATAGTTTCTAATCCGATAGATGAATGTTTGAGCTTTTAAAAAAAGTCTTTTGACACTTTGTTTTCTGTTAGCACATGTGTACAATCTATATTTTCCTTAGGTGTCCGGGGCCACCCGACTCTCACACATATATATATATATAGTTACCTTTAGATAACCTTGTACAATCTCAAGAAAAAAAAATTAAGTTTTCTGTTACCGCTTCATATTGCACATTCAAATCTGAAATATCTGAAGGAGTAGCAGTTGCAATTGATTTCTTACATGAGCCTTCACTGCATGATTCTTGAGGCACATCTCTATTTGTTACAACTGATGGTAAAAATGTATCATACCCATATACATGTCTATCATAAGGCTAAATTCCTGTTACGGCCAAATTCCTGTCACACCAACAAATATTATGTCAAAATCTTGACATAATATTTGTTGGTGTGGAAGATTTTTTCATGCTTGTCAAATGAGAGTGGCCATCTCATAAATTTTAATGGCTCGTCCTGGATTGCTAAGCATCCAGCTATTGGCAGCTGCATTAAAGTATTTTTCATTGGGCCTATCTAAAGGTTGTGTTTTATGTGAAGTATGTGGGGCAAAGTCATCATACAAACATGGTTCTCTTTTGCATATTCAAGTGACTGTAGTGAAAGGTGGCTTTCATGATTATCCATAATCAATAAAACTTTGTGATTGGATGTAGGAATAGCAAACTTAAGAAAATGCTTAAAAATATCTATAAATATTTCAGCATTCCTCCATCCTGATTGATTGGCTAATCCAATAGAAACTTCTGGTGCTTCTCTCATTAGTGGGTTTCTAAACAACTTTCTTGGAAAAACAATAACAGGGCCATGGTCTACTATAATTACACGGCCGGATATCTTGCTTTTTGGAGCGAAAAATTAGAAGGGTAACTTTTAGACTTTTTTAAGCGTCTTTTAAAATTGTTTATTTAAATATTCATAATATGATTAATACATGTGCTGTAGTTTATTGTAAAACTGGATATAATAAGAGAGAGAATCTAATTGATGTCATTCCTGAAAAGCATCCACTTTTTGGATTTCAGGAAAATAATCCTAACTTATTTAAACAGTGGGTAGCATTTGTCAATCGAAAGTTATGGAAACCCAGTTAATAATTCGGCTATTTGTGCTAAACATTTTGAAGAAAAATATTTAAAAATTGGCAAAAGACTAACATTAGTTTCGGATTTAAATCCCGTTCCAACTATTTATTGCTTAACTGAGAAAATACCATTATCAGTCTATCAATTTACTGAATTCTAAAGGTATATACCTAGGTACGTGAGTATCGCGTTTTACGGAACCGAATTTCGTGCTAAAATTCTGTTACACGTTTTTCGTAGTCTCTTAAAAGTTAGAGTGCTTGAGGAAGGCCTTGTGGAATAACTTTTTAGTATTCGTTATCGACATAGATTATTTTTAGAAAGAAGAATAGTTGAAGCATTAGTTCGATTGGTTTTTAATTATACTCACTTAATTTATTAACAAGTTTATTGATGTCAAAATTTTGGTTGTACTTCTGTGGTGAATTTAATGTCCAGGATATAGTCTTTTTTTTTTCTATCCATTATTTTAATTAAATTTATTCATTTATCTATGCACCAGCCAATTTTCGTTGAAAATATTTTGTAGCAGTCACCTTATTTCTTGCTGCACTTTTGTTACCTATTTTACATTTTACCTGATGTTGGCGCGGGAGACAGAGGGGTCTATTGATTGTTTTTATTTATATTTATTTTACATATATAGTATTTATATTAGCAATATTTGACTTATGTCATAAATTGATATTGTAAACCTAGATATTTTAGAATAAAAATATAGTTAAAAAATTTGTACATTTAAAAGAAATTACTTTAATAAAAGGATTTTTAGTAAATATTAAAATAAGACTTGGATTTTATATTTGATTTAGAAATAAAATGGAGGAAGAAAATAAAGGTTTCATCTAGTATTTCATATCATATTCATAATAAGAATTAGATGTGAATTAAATTATTGATGAATCATATCTAATTTGAAGATTGAACGTTGTTTTTATTAAATAAGAAATATCTTTATGGATAAGTTGTTTCGAAATAAATTTATTAAACTGTTTTTAAATTATCTGGCCACTATCTAAATCTTTATGTATAACTTAAATATTTCTTTCGCTGTTTTAGATGCCCAAAGTTGTAGTGCAGCCGACAACATCAATTAGTTACTTTCTGAATTCAATAGCTTAGTAGTTATTAAATAGATGCTATTATAATATATGTTCTATATATGTTCTATATATATATATATATATATATATATATATATATATATATATATATATATATATATATATATATATATATATATATATATATATATATATATATATGTATATATATATATATATACATATATATATACATATATATATATATATATATATATATATATATATATATATATATATATATATATATATATATATATATATATATATATATATATATATTAATGTATATATATATATGTATATATATATATATATATATATATATATATATATATATATATATATATATATATATATATATATATATATATATATATATATATATATATATATATATATATATATATGTACATATATAAATGATATTAGTTTTCTAATACAGTTCTTTATTATGCCTGTGTAGATTGTTGTCTAACAATATTATTTCTTGTTGGTTGTATTTTTGTATACTTAATACTTACATTTTTTTAAGTCACTCTTTTTTTTCTGTAGACAATTTAGAACAAACAATCAGTTAGTTAAGTTTGAATTGTTTTAGTTACTATATCATTTAAAGTATTTTTATGCTGTGTTAGTATTCCTTGTTGAATAAATGTTTTGATTTAAAAAATTTTTTTAAAAGATTTAAGTTTAAGAAAAAAGATTGTCAAATGGTCAATTAATGTAGCACACAAAAACAGATTTACAAATCAACTGCATCGATGCAAAGTTAGAGATGAGATTTGCCAAAGACAAAAAATCAAGCTTAAAAAAATGGATGAAAAAGAAAAAAGAAAGTTAGAGCGTGAGCTATCCAAATTGAGTTTTAACGAAATTATTAATTCATGCAAGCGCTTGTTCAATGACCAACTATTTG